GCGGCCAGAACAACCAACGAGCTGCTGTTTTTCCCAACTACTTAAAAGGATCTTCAGCAGAACCACAGCAATTCAGAGCAGTCCCAAGGCTGCTCTGCATTGTGTCAAACGTGTCTGGTCAACCAAAGGATTAGGAGCTGCTTTTGGGGTGTTGTGTAGCATATGACGAGCTGCTTTTGGGGTGTTGTGTAGCATATGAGATGGCTTAGTTAGTAAAATATATTTAAAGTCAAATGTTTTATGTATTTTAATGACTTTTTTTTAATATTTATAAAAGTACCAGATAGCTTTAAAGCAGACAGAGAATTTTCTTTGTTGCCATGCCACTTTCCTATTAGCTCAAGCAAAATGAGGAAGGAGGTCTGAACATGTGGATAGCAGAGTGTGGCTTCTCTACTGTCCTCTCTTTCCAAGCAGTCGTTTAGATCACTAACTACTCATGTTGGCAATAATCGAGCCATGCATCTCTTTCAAGTTATTTTTGGAAGCATTCAAAGCAGCAAAGATCACAGAGCAACGGACATGGAGAAGAGACAGAAAGTTTCAGAGTACGTCATACTCAATTTCTGAGATCTTGGCCTGCTTTTTTCCTTTAATCAAACAGGAACGCTGTTAGGAAAACGTGCTACGGGCCATGTAACGCCCTTGAAAGAAAGCGGATGAGGAGCAGGCTGCAGCAGCAAGCTCTGCGGCAGCGTGCCTTTGAAACACTGCTCGTGACGGAGGAGCTGGTTAACTCCCCATAACACGTCTGGAAATCGGCAGGACACTGCTAAAGTCTCACTTCTAAAGTCCATTGCTGTCTCCAATACTATGCTCACGACCAAGTTTTCCCACGCTTGCAATCTTGTTTTAATTTTGACAAGTAAACACACTAGACCAGGGTAAGTAGGAGGAAAACCCTAGCCATTGATTTTCTTGGCTCCTCTGAAGATTGCCAAGAAAATCAAATGCTGCACAGCCAGCTCATGTGATTTTTTTTCTGGCAACTGCAAAGATTTATAAAGAGCCTTTCCTCATCCTTTCACGTCTCCCTGATGCCACGTGGCAGTGGTTCCCTTACAGCCATGCCCTGCAAGGAAACCGAGGCAGTTTTCTGTGTTGTATTTGAGGCTTCTCCTTGACTTCATCACAACCCAGCTCTCTAAATGCCATCTCTTTGCCCAGAGGCATGCAATCCGGTAAGTTCTTCAACTCTGGATTTATTTATTTATCAATTTATAAACAGTATGCTCTATGTACTACTTTTATCCATCGCCCTTATTTCCATCGTCATTGATTTAAAAAGCAGAATCTAATTGTTGTTTCATGATGAGCAGCTATCAAAGCTAAAAGAACCATCAGTGTCAGAGGGCAAAACATCATCTCCTCTAGTGCACTTCACTCATCTCCAGGGCTAAGGATTTACATCTGACTTTATTTTTTTTTCCAGACAGATTAATTCTTTTTGAGCAAGAGGATGCAGCAGAGGGGTAACCCATGTATTTCAGAGCCCTCTTCTGTCTACACCTGCTGCAGGAGGAGCTCCTTTCCCACTCTGTAGGATTTAACCGCCTAGCAGATTTCCACTTGACTGTTTGAATTTCCTTCCCTGGACTCAGCCTTTGCATCCTCATAGCAGCAGGGATAAAAACATAAGCTGAAGGACAAAGTTGTCTTCTTCGTATGGCAACTAAGTGAAGGCCAAAAGCTACTGTGCTGTGGTTAAAGTTGGATTTCAGGTGTTTAGTCCCCTTTATTACAATTCAGATGAAATTTGTGGGAATGTAATCAGATCAACATTCTGTGAGAGGTCCACTGCAGTCTGGCGAGAAAAAATATGGCTGGTGAGATTCCAGCCATATCCTGGCCAGAGGAAGATGGTAAGTCTTGTTCCTTTTTTAGATGCAACCCACAACCCAGTTCGTGTCGAGCTAGACTAAACTCTCATAACTGAAGTTTAATTTTCAAACCCTGTTGAAGCTGGAAGCCATGTGCCAGCCTTGCCTCCTCCCAGCCAGTGGCCACAGCGAGCTGCGTCTGCTTGCCATCCCTGCCATCACGTACGAGATGGAGGGTGCTCAGCTGGGAAGCGCAGTGGCCAAGGGGAAGCCAAGGTTCAGGGGAATTTATCTCCATCAGATGAGTAAGGTAAACTGATATGATAGGAAAAACAGACCACATTGTTCCTGCAGTCTAGACAGATGTTTGCTGTCAGATGCACCTTACATGCATGCCACATCTGCTGGAAAAGCACTTTACAGATGATTTATCACATTACTGTGCCAAGGAGCTGAGAAGCCCTCCTGAAAGTTTTCCACTTAATCCTAACGTTCCCAGCTTGGTGATCCTCCCTGGCATTTTCTACCTTACTGTTCCAAACGGTTTACAGAGGAGGAAAAACCTTCACTATCTCCTGGCTTGCTGGTGGTACCCTTGCAGATGTCTCAGGGATCCAGGACACCGAGCAAAATTTAGGACAGATTCATTATGTTCCCTTCAGGTTATTCCACTTATGGCTGTATCACTGGGGAAGGGATCACAGGTGTCATTCTGGTACCCTCTGCAGAGCCTCAGAGCGGAATGCCGCAGGAGAGAGGGGCTGTGCAGGCAGCTGTCCAGGTGCATGGGCAGGATCCTGCCCGCTGCGGGCAAGTGAGTACCCCGGCATCGGCCACCATCACAAGGACAGGCTGAAGACAGAGAAGCTGCAAAATTACTTTGGAGTACTTAATGATGCCAGAGCATTCACGGGGAGCTGTGCTTTAGGAGCAGGTTGTCCTGTGCATGTGTCTCTGCTGTCAGCTGGGTTTCTGGTCTAGGATCCTCCCAATGGCTGGTCTCCCTCACGTTATCATCCCTGCATACCACAACAGTGGATAGAGCCTAGAAACAGCAAGTTAGGAAGGGATATGGTTTGGTTTAATTAACACAGGGGTGCCTGGTGAGGGGCTGTGGCTCCTAGCAGCTTCTTGTGCAGCAGGAGCCCTCCCTTGCCCCAAGGGGAAACCAGGGCTGCCCACTCCAGGACAAGCCTCTAGTACCTACTGTAGAAATCATGAATAAGAAGTGCTATTGGTGACCTCATGGGAAAAGCAGATAAAGAAGAATGAAAAGGCTACAGCCACTTAGAAATATACATGCTTTCTGTAGCTTTGACTTTTTTTTTTTTCCTGAAAAATGCAGTGGAGTGGCCTATATTGGCTGATAGGAAGGACTACTCATAGCACTGAAAGTATTTTGTTGTGCCAGTGCAGGCGTTTAAAGACCTTCCGAGCACATTAGGGTCAAAAAAAAAAAAAAAAAGGAGCAACCAGTGCTCTTGGACTTCCTCTGTGCAGGGCCAAACCCAAAGCCACCAGTGCCAGTGGAGAAGACTCCCATTAATACTAGCCACTGGTGGGAGCAATTGCCAAGATCCGAGTACCCATTTTGTTTTGTTTCCCCTACAGTAAGGTGGTGGCCTCAGTTTTAGCAGCAGGTGATGAGACGGAACCTCCATAGAATGGTTAGGGTTGGAAGGGACCTCAAAGATCATCTAGTTCCAAGCCCCCTGCCATGGGCAGGGAAACCCTCCACTACACCAGGTTGCCCAAAGCCTCATCCAACCTGGCCTTGAACACTTCCAGGGATGGGGCATCCACAACTTCTCTGGGCAACCTGTTCCAGTGCCTCACCACCCTCTGAGTGAAGAATTTCTTCCTTAGATCTAATTTAAATCTGCCCTCTTTCAGTTTAAATCCATTGCCCCCTGTCCTATCACTACATGCCCTTGTAAATGGCCCTCTCCAGCTTTCCTGTAGGCCCCCTTTAAGTACTGGAAGGCTGCTATAAAATCACCCCGGAGCCTTCTCTTCTCCAGGCTGAACAGCCCCAACTCTCTCAGCCTGTCTTCATAGCAGAGGTGCTCCAGCCCTCTGATCATCTTCGTGGCCCTCCTCTGGACTCGTTCCAGTAGCTCCATGTCCTTCTTGCGTTGGGGACTCCAGAGCTGAACACAGTATTCCAGGGGGGGTCTCACGAGAGCAGAGTAGAAGGGCAGAATCACTTCCCTTGACCTGCTGGCCACGCTTCTTTGGATGCAGCCCAGGATACGGTTGGCTTTCTGGGCTGCCAGTGCACATTGCCAGCTCATGTTGAGCTTCTCATCCACCAGCACTCCCAAGTCCTTTTCCTCAGGGCTGCTCTCAATCCATTCTCCGCCCAGCCTGTACTTGTGCTTGGGATTGCCCCAACCCATGTGCAGGACCTTGCACTTGGCCTTGTTGAACTTCATGAGGTTCTCACAGGCCCACCTCTCCAGCCTGTCAAGGTCCCTCTGGATGGCATCCTTTCCTTCCAGCGTGTCCACCACACCACACAACTTGGTGTCATCTGCAAACTTGCTGAGGGTGCACTCAATCCCACTGTCCACGTCACCAACAAAGATGTTAAATAGCACTGGCCCCAGTACTGACTCCTGAGGAACACCACTCATCACTGGCATCCACTTGGACATCGAGCTGTTGACTGCAACTCTTCGAGTGTGACCATCCAGCCAATTCCTTATCCACCAAGTGGTCCATCCATCAAAACCATGTCTTTCCAGTTTAGAGACAAGGATGTCATGTGGGACGGTATCAAATGCTTTGGATAAGTCCAGGTAGACGATGTCAGTTGCTCTTCCCCTATCCATCAATGCTGTAACCTCATCATAGAAGGCCACCAAATTAGTCAGGCAGGATTTGCTCTTAGTGAAGCCATGTTGGCTGTCACCAATCACCTCCTTATTTTCTATGTGCCTTAGCATAGTCGCCAAGAGGATCTGCTCCATGATCTTGCCGGGCACAGAGGTGAGATTGGAGAAAGCTCACAGATGTAGCAGTCCAGATGGATTTGGGTATAGAAACTCTACTACCCTGCTGTAGGCAACCTCAGCCATGAATATTTTAAGAAACCTATAGTTGGAAGGAATCAATCCAATCACAGTACAATGAAGGATGCTATTTCTGTTGTGGAGACAAGCTCTTCAGGTTGGTTTTGGTCATACCTACTGCATTAGCAGCAAAGTTATCCTCTTAGACTGGTAGTAATTTGAGGTGGGCACCAAGCTTGCTCAATGCCCCTTAGCCTGAATATGGGTAGGAATAGAAATTTCCCCTTGAGATCATTCTTGAGAGCAAATTATAGAGAGCTTGGGTCCACGGGTGGTGGCACCATGCTCTCAATCTGCTGCTTCATTTTGCAGTCCTTGATTTTTTGGAGCTCCTACACTTGGAGCTCCCCTAGTAAATTACTCTCTGCTCTGGAGATGAAGGTAATGGCTGGGAATGGTGCTGCTTACTCTCCCGGGGAACCAGATACAGCAACAGCAGAATGCATGGCCTTCGTTCACATTTGGCACAGGAGGGCATTCAGAAACAGCACATTCAGTGAGGATGAGACTTGTGTCCAGCTTGAGCACATATCCGGGATTCCTGTGTACCCATTGCGTTCTTTATCCTGGCTATGTCCTTGTTTCAACATCACTGCAAATGCCCACTTAGAGTACTTCTCCTTCCACACGTGGCACAGCCAACCATATCCTGGGCTGCATCAACAGCAGCATGGCCAGCAGGTCAAGGGAGGTGATTCTGCCCCTCTGCTCTCATGAGACCCCCACCTGGAATACTGTGTTCAGCTCTGGAGTCCCCAATACAAGAAGGACATGGAGCTACTGAAGCAGGTCCAGAGGAGGGCCATGAAGATGATCTGAGGGCTGGAGCACCTCTGCTATGAAGACAGGCTGAGAGAGTTGGGGCTGTTCAGCCCGGAGAAGAGAAGGCTCCGGGCTGATCTTATTGCAGCCTTCCAGTACTTAAAGGGGACCTACAGGAAAGCTGGAGAGAGACTTTACAAGGGCGTGCAGTGATAGCACAAGGGAAAATGGCTTTAAACTGAAAGAGGGTAGATTTAGATTAGATATGAGGAAGAAATTTTTTACAATAAGAGTGGTGAGACACTGGAACAGGTTGCCCAGAGAAGTTGTGGCTGCCCCATCCCTGGAAGTGTTCAAGGCCAGGTTGGATGAGGCTTTGAGCAACCTGATCTAGTGGAAGGTGTTCCTGCCCATGGCAGGGGGCTTGGAACTAGATGATCTTTGAGGTCCCTTCCAATCCAAACCATTCTATCATAGCAGAGGAGTTGAGGAGCTGTAAGCATCTTCCACTTCTCCTACATTATCCTGCTGTCCGTATAGCAAGCAGTTCAGTTACAACTGGATTTTTGTGAGCTAGATAAGGAGATACTTCAGCTAGACTCATCTCCATTTCAGAGCCCGTACACGTACTGGCACAGCTTTGGGGTCACCCACCTGCTCGTGGGAGAGCACTGTACTAAGCTGGCACTAGCAGCTAAACACACAAGATCCACTCACGATGCTCTGGTGCATGGTCAAACCTCACCTAGGCATCAGCTGTCTGAGGAAGCCCTGGCATGCTGTCAAGCTCCAAACTGAACAGTCAAAGCAGCAAAGAAATCAATGTTTCCTTCCTACACAGGTAATTCATTCCCATGAATGTATCCCACCGTATCTTTCTCTGCAGTGAAATAAACCAGGGACCTCAGGAATAACCTTCTACCTTACGGACACACATTCCCCTTGTCAAGCTCTCCACTTTTAACATTACTCACCCTGGGAAAATGAGATATAAACCCAAGTAGCCCAGGACGTAACACAGCAATCCTGGCTCTGTGGTTACAAACGCGGCTGCAGCCCAGCACCTGGAGCAGCACGGCCTCACATGTACACAGCCATAAGAAACACGCACCAGGGGACAGACTGCAAGGTGACATCCAGAGCTGGATCCACCAGAGACAGATAAAAGCATCTCACACCAGATCTTTGGTTAGCAGTCTCCTCACCTCTGCCTACACAGGAAGGTGCCCAGACCCACCATGCGTCCATCCCACTGTTTGACTTCAAAGCTCCCAAGGCTTTGAAGCTCCCAAGGCTTTTAGCTCCCGCGCATGCCTAGGACCGCTTTCGCCTGTGCCTCCAACACTGCATCCCATCTAACCAACCAGTGTCCCAGAGCTGAGCGGGGTATCACCAGTGTCAGCCCAGGGGTGGAAACCAGCAGACACCTCCCCAGCAGCTCGGTGCCATCCAGTAGTCTCTCTTTAAAAGCAGGGGGAGCTCTGGCATTCGTCTCAGCATTGCTCTGCTCTCACTGCCTTCTGGCCATGCAGAGCTCCGGTCCGCGCTGCAGGGCACACGAAAGCTCTGAGTCGATGAAGACGCTGGTGACCTAGTGTGTGCTAGCACTGACTCACGTAGCTTAGAAATGGGGTTTTCCAAGTCATGGACTCAACTTGAAAAAATCACCACAGCACAGGCTAAGGATTAGTAAGTGTTGTCACAGTCTTCTCTGACCTTTTTCACCCTCTACAAGAGGACTCGCCAGGATTATGGACTGACTAATAGGTCTGATCTGCAGCCCTCGTCTCCTGGAGATGAGACAGCACGTAGGGTGAGTTTGGCTCTGCAGCTGCTTCTCCCTGTCGGATCAAACGTCTCATCTGAGTAAACACATTTCTATTCTCTTTTTACTCATGGGTTTATTTGTCCAGAACAAGGCAAAGAATCACTAATCCTTGAAAGCCTCCTTACTCCTTCCAAGTATTTTTGTTTAGTCCACACGGCCTATAAATCTGAAAGTGTTTTGAACAGGGGCAGA